AATTGGATCGTAAACATCATAGGGCTTAATCACCTAACAGTGACTGGAGGTGTACTTAAAACTAGATAGTTTAATTTAGGTCATACCTCCAAACTGTCCCAAAATTCTCTTTATTTATACCTGTATTTAACAGATTTATTTGTGAGGTGTGAAAATAAAATTAAAAGTCAAAATTCACACCTCTTAAACCCACATCTGCACACCTCCATCTTAGCACACTGTCAATCATTGTTATAAGATCTGTCCTTTGCACCTTACAGTCAGTATAGAGAAAGCATACATATATTGTCATTTCCTAAATATTTCATTTGAATTTAAAAGGAAACTAAGCATTTCATGCAAATAAGGTTGTCACAAGTTATACGTGAATTTTGAAATTTTATTCAATGGTGTACATTCTAAATAAGTGACAGTTCCTCTTTAAAGCAAAACAGGATGTTAAAAAACGTTGAATCTCTGGGTCTTACTAGATTCCCACCGTTTTTATTTCTAAGTAATATGTTACGACTGTATTTAACTATTGTCAAATCTGGTTTGTTCCGTGTATCCCTATAAAAGAAATCTCTGTGTTCACTAGCCTGGTCCTTTGTAAATGTGTTTGCTTCTTTATTTCTCTGTCCAGCGTAAGAAAATGGAAATTACAAAAAATTGCTCAGACACGCAGAAGAGAATATAGTTTCTATTGCAGAAGGTTTCTATTATTAAAGGACAGTGTTGCTGCTTGCAAATCTGCTGTTTGCCCAGTCACGGAGCCATAGAGACTGGTGAATCTGAGACTTTGTCACACCCATAGGCAGGTGCTCATTGGTGGAGGGAGGTCAAGTTCACGGTGCTTGATTTTTGTAAACATGACTCTTTGTAGACATGCAGCACGTTTCATCATAAAACAGAATCTTCTTTTTTTCCTATGGAAAAGGCAATCGTCTATTGCAGGCTTCCCCAAACTCCGGCCCTCCAGATGTTGCTGAACTACAACTCCCATGATTCTATGAATGAAATAGATAGGCTGAGAATCATGGGAGTTGTAGTTCAGCAATATCTGGAGAGCCGGAGTTCGGGGAAGCCTGATCTATTGAATATGCAGTCAAAACGTTATTCTCTTCCAATGCACCAAACTAAAATAAACAGCACTTTAATCTGATTTTTATTTTTTATTTAAATTATAACAGTACAGACTTAAAATGACGCATTTTTTTTATTCCATGTATGAACAGATTACTATAAATATTCATACAATCAGTCACTTGATTCAAATGATGAGCTATCTCAAAATATCCAATAGAGATTGTGCTTTTTAAACCCTTCCATCTCTCTTCTGAGTCCCTGGCTGATTAAACAGCTTATAAAAGCTGCAGACCTCTTGTTGAGCCCTCTGTTAGGGAGATTTCCAGTGTATGGCAGCCTTAGTGTCACAGGCAGCGGTACTTCGTCATGGAGCGCTTGGAACTCCTTTAGGGTATACGCTCTCGCGAACCCCGGCGAAGATGGTACTACTGCCTGTACACTTTTCCAATCAGCTACACGAACCTCGGGAGATAGGAACTACCGACTGGGGGGAGCATTCACTACCTATGATCCAGGGGGCGCATTTGTCGGTGTTCGTACAGTAACCCCCGAACAGAGACCAGCCGCTGCCCTGGATTCTCTGGAACTGTTTTGGGGCATCACGTCGTGGCCGACCAGTCAAAACATCTTCCGAATGGCGATTTCGTTTCACTGAACGTTCTGAGCGCTTTTTGGACATGATGGGCACTCAAACACAGGCTATTCGGGAATATAAGACTTGTGGGGTTCTTATAAGTTTTTTATGTTTTTGGGGTGATTTGCAATATTGTATGTAATTTCCTGCGAGAGAGATAATTAAATTATCCAGTTTAGAGCTTGATTATCTGGGAAAAAACCTTGTAATGTTGCTGTGGAGACCCCATGCTAGGGGCCATGCATAAAAACCCGTGTGTGGCTAAATAAAAATAATTTGACTCCCAGAACTGTGTGTCGTACAGTTACTAGGGGAATGGGCTATAATCACTGACCAACGCTTTCTTACAGCTTTAGAGGATTCCAGCTTCGCTACAATAGTTATTTTTATTACCATTCTGTCAATGCGTGGTACGCTAATTTGTACTCTTCCGAAATCCAAGCAGGTGTGTGATGGGTGCTGTGTGTGTGATGGGTGCTGTGTGTGTAAAGGGTGCTGTGTGTGTGTCTGTGAAGGGTTCTGTGTGTGTGAGGGGTGCTGTTTATGTGCAAAGGTTTCTGTCTGTGTGAAGGGTGCTGTGAGTGTGAGGGCTGTTGTGTGTGTGTGTAAGAGTGCTAATGTCTGCTTCACTTAATGCACTTCTTTACGTGACAACATGTTTAAGGAACATTTAAAATATAGGTTAATAATATACCATAATTTAATACTTTAATGTACTAATCAATTCAAAAAGTACATACAACTGGCTAAGCACAAAGTTTTTATTAGTATTATTGTTGATTATATGCATTACATTAGCAAGAAGTAATAATATATAAAAGTTTTTTTAACAATGCAACAAAAAGCCAATGTTAAATAATAAAATGTTGAAGTAATGAACACTAGCTTTTAAAAAAAAAAAAACAATCTAACACTTTAAGCATGAAAAAATCCATTATTATAAAAAGTAAAAGCTATTTTGCATAGAAAGAGGTCTTATCCATTGCGAACAGTCATAAGTGTATGTCTGTCCGTCCGTCCATCCTCTATGGCTCATTTATCAATGTATCTATTTAATTAGTGTATATATACCTTCTTTGTTCTTCATTTAGTTGTGTCTTAATGTTAGATCATTTAATTGGATTTAATGTAGTATATTTATTTATTTTGTTATCAAGGCTGTCATCAGAAATACTGGGGCCCATTACAAACCCACCAACCTCAACCATTTCCTCCTCTCCCTTCATAATCCTCAACCTCCTAAATCTCACCTCAATTCAAGCCTTTGTTTGTGAACAGGTTATTTATGCAGCTTAGACTGAGCACTGAGGCTCCCAGGTGTGACAATGCTCTATGGGAGTCAGGGAGCATAATTTTGACACCTCTTTATTCAGCTGCTGGATCAGAGAATAAGTGAATATAGGAATGTTGGGAGGATGCAATGGGAAACCACAAGGAAGTCGTGCAGGCTTCATTTCAGTTAAGAGACTCTGATGTCCCTGGACAATGTGTTCCAGTTAGGGGAGATACTTATATATCCCTAACTGCTCAGTGTGACAAGGCCGATGCAGGCCCCAGTACTCAGTCAGACCACTCATGGCAGTCCTGTTTGTAATACAACAATGAGTTGCATTGAGTAGATATCAACTTGCCAATTTTAAACAAAAGCAGATAAGTTGGGCTAATTATCCAACTCAGCCAAGTTTCTTTCCATTGTTCTTTTGTCTTAGCTATTTAGCAAAAATGAACTGCAATTTTGCAAAATGACTGTCATATCTGTCATGAAAAATACGACATAATCTTAAACGATAGAGAATCAAATTTAATCTATACATTGTTCTAGCAGAATTGTTAACAAATGTCTATATAATAAACAGCATTTTTCTCCTTCTGTCAGTCATCAGTTTGTGTCAGTTGGTGCAGAGCTAAAAAGGCGGTGCTCTGCATGTCCGTTATCATATAAACCCTACCCTGGGCCTCTCTCCTGCATGCCTTCAACCTAAGGAAAAGCAATGCCTGCAAGAAGGTGGAAGGAGGAGGGGAAGGCTCTGTGTGAGAGCAGCAGCAGCATCACAGAGAGAAATAGCCAGAATTATTTATTGCAGGAGCTTTGGACAGGGAATCTGAGAATGAAGTGAGAGAACAGATACATTTGGCTGTGACCCTTCAGTGTTGCTTTGCCAAACAGGGGTATGCAGGAGAGGTGTATCTTATAGCAAGTGTAACATCCACAAAAAACATGACTGATGCTCTCAGCAGGAGACATGGGTAATGGAAATAAATTAAACTATGAGCTTTTCATAGTATTAAGGGAAAAACACTTAATTGGATGACGTGAGTCAAGCCAGATTGTTAGAAATTTACAAATCTATATTAGATGGGCTAATCCGCATGTGCGGCAAGTGCTTTGAGGGCATTAGGCCCTTCCCATAGGAAAGCATTGACTCAATGTTTTCTTATGGGGATTTAACTGATGGTGGATGTCCTAATACAGAGTGGCAGTTAGGCAATAAAAATCATCTAGTATGCAGGTAGTGACGTAACCCTGCATTGTAATTAATGCAGTTTCTCAGAAACTGCAATAATTAACATTGCATGGTTAAGATGACAGGGGCATTGCACCCATATAACTTTAATGAGCTAAAGTAGTCTGGGTGCCCATAGTGTCCCTTTAATCTTTATCATTACACATCTGATGTTGGTACCGGGGCTTCACTATAAAGCAATTGTTTTAAAGTAGGCTTACATTCTAATAAAAATTAATTTAAATTATCTGAAAGCAAGATAGTACGAGCAATGCAATCGTAGGTTTTCGTGGAAATATTTATTTATTAGAACATTTTAAGAGTCCGCAGCAGCACCTTTCATGTCTATAACTTACTTCAAGTAGTTCCCGATAAGTGCAGCATTTTCTGTTTACAAATACAATCTATAGTTTTCCCTTTAATAGTAATACCATTCATCACCTATCTTATAGCGTATAATTTAGATTAAAAGAGGTAGCTCCATATTGTAGGGACAGTTTTACTCCAAGCCTCACTATTTTTATTAAAACAAAAATAAATAACAAAGACACTATATAAACTAAATCTAAGTTTCCGCACATACCAAGGATGGAATGGTAATGGTTTTATAGTCTAGCTTTTTATATTCTTTATAACTACATGTGATATGTATATCATTCTTAGAAAGAGTGAGACATTTTATGAACAATTTGCTTGTGTTCACATTACCGCAGCTTTTCTTTTTATCGTCATTGCTCACGTCATGAACAAAAAAAAAAGTAAAAAAAACAAACAAACTTTGTACATGAATAATTCTGCTGCGATTTTGCTTTGGCAACATTAAAACCTAGAACTCGCCATGTGCAAACCTTCTCATTAGACATATTTCAACGCTTTGGTTTGTATATATCTATCAACCATGATCGTATCCTTAGTCCTGTATCTATATTGTTATACATCTGGTTGTAGTTACACCATCTTTCTGTGAAACCGTTTGTTGCACGTGAAGAAGCCTACAACAGATGTTTCTACGGTGGTGTGTATAATAAGAGTATGATAATATATGTAATCAATACAAATCTTTATGTTAAATATTATTTCCATACAGTTGTTTAATAATGGAAAATTTCAGCTTTTACATCTACAAACCTCTCAGTTGTATTCCTTTTTGTTAAACATTTTGCCACGCATCAAAATATGCCGTGGGAAAAAAAATTTAAAACGTGAAAATGAAACTCCTAACTGGCAGAGATTTGAGCAGTGAGACTGCAGGGGCATGATCTATACACCAAACTTGCTTTACGAAGATAAAGTTGTTTTGGTGACTATATAGTGTCCCTTTAACTGTCCAACATAATGTGTCACAAAAATGCATTAATGACTCTTACTAAAATAAATATTTGAGGTTACTATAATTCATATTTCAAACTTAATCACTATGGCTTACCTAATATTTCCCTATTTGTGTTCAAAGAAATCCAACTATGGTGTTGGCAGGATAAGGGATGGGCTTAGGGTGCTGGGGAATACCATTATTTGCACCAATCTACATGAAAACGGACCAAGAAAGGGAATGACATCATATTCTCAGTCTACTATAACCACTGCAATGAGATGAAGTGGTTATTGTTCTTGGAGTGTCCCTTTACCAACATGCCAGTGTAAGCTTTTTAATACATTCATATTCAAATAGAAGATAAAGCAAGCACATATATCTTTTTGGGTATATATGTGCTGTTATGGCATCTGTCGACTTTTTCCTGTGAAGAAATAACAGGCAGACCATTGCTCACTATCAGTCTTTGCTCCTGCGTGCCTCGCCTCCCAAAGGCTTGATTGCAAGTTTTAATCGTGTGCACTTTTAATCTTGTGTACCTGCCACTGTAAAAGTGAATCAATATAATGAACTACGTACAGGCAAGTGCAAACCTCTTATCTATGACCATAAGCTGAGCTTTGACATTCAAAGTGAGTACACGCATATAGGCTCCTGCTGCTGCTGCAAATATGCTGACCAAGGCGCAGATGGTGATTTTCCGTGCAATATTTCCTAACTAAAGTAGAAGAGCCCTTAAAGGTATAACCGGTGATTTAAAAACGCATTACCTGTACGGATGCCAAGTGGACACATGCTGACTTTTCACATCATTGCTGTTTTTTTGAAATCACTGTATTTTTATTTCATTATTTTAATCATCAAAGGGTATTCTTTTGCTTTTGCAAGTGTTCACCATTAAGAAACTGATCGTTAAAATGTACAGAAATATACTGCTTCCAGACTCTGTAGCACAGAGCGCCTGCTGCTTCCAGACTCTATAGCACGGGGCGCCTGCTTCTTCCAGACTCTATAGCACGGGGCGCCTGCTGCTTCCAGACTTTATAGCACGGGGCGCCTGCTGCTTCCAGACTTTATAGCACGGGGCGCCTGCTGCTTCCAGACTTTATAGCACGGGGCGCCTGCTGCTTCCAGACTTTATAGCAGGGGGCGCCTGCTGCTTCCAGACTTTATAGCAGGGGGCGCCTGCTGCTTCCAGACTTTATAGCACAGGGGCGCCTGCTGCTTCCAGACTTTATAGCAGGGGACGCCTGCTGCTTCCAGACTTTATAGCACGGGGCGCCTGCTGCTTCCAGACTTTATAGCACGGGGCGCCTGCTGCTTCCAGACTTTATAGCAGGGGGCGCCTGCTGCTTCC